GCAAAATTATTATTATTAATTAAAGAACATAAAACATTTAAAATCCATGCGCATATATATATATATATATATATATATATATACATTATATATATATATATATATATATATATATATATATATATATATATATATATATATATATATATATATATATATATATATATATATATTCAGTTGTATATATATATATATATATATGAAGAAACAAACAAAATGCAGAAAAACAAACAAAATCTTAATATATAATTATGCTGTATTAATGTTAATATAAAGTCAACGTCAGACGTTTCGGTCTATTTTTGACCATCATCAGGACTTATATATATATATACAGTTGTGTGTATATATATATATATATATATATATATATATATATATATATATATATATATATATATATCTTTATATATATGTATGTATTCAGTTGTATATATATATAATAATAATGGACTATCCCGTCGGTTTCGACGTATGAGGATCTGCCAGCTTATTGATTCAGTTATGAAAGTTTATGCGCTAATCTTAAGTGACATTTAAGACCCGGTAGTGATTTACAAAGGAGGTCGGATATGGAGCGAAAATTGTGAGATGAGATCACTGTTAGATTAGTTGACCTTTTAGTTCTTGCTCTCGCTTCTTGAAGATGATTCAGACAAGCAGATTGAAAATTGCTGAGTCCACTAAAACACGTTGATCTCCATTCTACCCGCTCCAAAGCTAAGCGCTCAAGGGTGTTATGTGGTATATTAACTGCTGACAAGTTGCTTTTCAGCTTGTCTTTGTATCTTAGCCATGGGCGTCCTACATTCCTGTAGCCCTGATCTAACTGGCTGTACATTAGGATCTTGGGTATCCTGTCATCAAACATTCTGAAGACATGACCAGTCCACCGTAACTGAGACTCTATGCTAAAAGTCTCGATTCCTCCAATATTACACCTGTTAAACAGGTCTACGTTAGATGTCTTATCTTGGAGCTTAACTCCACAGATTGTATGCAGGCAACTTTTATGGAAAACATCTAGCTGGCGTATATGATACCTGTATGGAGTCCGTGACTCTGAGCCATACAAAAAAAGGATGGCAAGTACAAGAACTCTGTAAACCCCGAATTTTCGTATCCAGTCGAATATATGTACAGTTGTGTGTGTATATATATATATATATATATATATATATATATATATATATATATATGTATTCAGTTGTATATATATATATATATATATATATATATATATATATATATATATATATATATATATTAATGGATTCGGGATGAAATCCGATCTCAAATGAATGACAAACGCAGGAATGAAATATAGCAAATAAATGTATTGACGTAATAATACAATTGGTAATACGGTTAGTAGATCCAGAAATGCGGTTAGTAGCAATAATATATATATATATATATATATATATATATATATATATATATATATATATATATACAGTCTGGGAAATTCAGTATCAAAGTATGACTTCCTTCTGAGTCTACGTGCTCGCAACTGTGACTCCTACAAAGCAGTTACCTCACACTCTCACTCTCTCACTTTCTCACTCCCGGGTATTCACCGGCAGCAGTACAAGTACACACTAGGCGAGTTCACTATTATAAAAGGGTGTACTCCTTAACATATATATATATATATATATATATATATATATATATATATATATATATATATATATATATGTACTCAGTTGTATGGATATGTGTTTATGATCCTCGGTTTCGTGTGATGGGATTCTTGGTTTGGCCATGTCTTAAAGAAATAGAAGAAAGTGTTCTCACAATCACATCACACGTCATTATCAATGTAAAATGTCATGATGCCACTTCTGATCTTAGCTCTCTGGTTAGGCCCCGGAAGGAAAGGAGTATACAGCATAAAACACAGGCAATAACAATAATAATAATAATAATAATAATAGTCTGAGCACAAATTAGGAAAGCTAATGAGAAAACGTGAAAAGAACGACAACATATTTACATTTTATGTAAAACGGAAAGGAAAAAGGCACTGGAGATTAGGCCAAATTTTCTGTCAAAAAGATTGAACGTTAAACAGCGAAATGTAAGGCGATATTAATTACAACGACCAAACGTTGCAAGAAAATTAATAAGAGGACAAATAGACATTTGGAAAGCTCCAAAACGAAAAGAACAAAAATAAGAAGACAAATAATTCCATAAGAAATAAATTAAAGGAAATGAAGAATAGTTAACATGGATACAATTACGAACAGAGAAACAATCCTTATAAATGGCGCTGGCCATAACAATTATTTTAGTATATTTTATTGTTATACGTTATTTATATAGACACAAATATTTAAGTAAATACTCAGTTTATAATAAACAGGATTAAAAACATTTACCGGAGGAAGGATATTTTCTATGACAATTTCTCGGACGTTCAGGCCGGTAAATGTTGTTGATACTGTTTATTAGGAGCATTTACTTAAATATTTGTATCTATATAAATAACGTATAACAATAACTTTCACTTCTTTGCGGAAGAAAGACATATCTTCAGCGTTGAGCTGAGTGGGTCTGCACATGCTTTTGAAAGAAAGCTTCGCCTCTGCAAGACCTTTATGCATACGTGACACACAAAGGTCTTTGGATAGTCTTAAAGGTGACGTTCCCTACGTGCACTCTCATGTGTCGCTTCAGCAAAAATGACACAAGTATCCTTCAGGCCTATCATGAGGTATATTCACATAGCTGATTTTCATGCGATCTTAGATGTCTGTCAAACCCGAGATAGATAAGGTCAGACAGAATATTTTCGGCGATCGAGTCTACACCCACTTTCTTAAGAGCTCATCTTAACTTCGAATATTCCCACCTTTTGACCTTAAAGCAATTACAACCATCAAAAACTAGTTTTCTTCAGCCAAACCTATTCTATTTTTTTTTCATAGACTTTTACACCAATTTCATGAGTTTTCAGTTTGTCTTTAAGAAAATCCTTGAAACGTTTCTTGGGCTTGTGTGTGGGGCTCTAATCAAGAGCGAACTCTCCGTAAAACAGGTACTTAGGCAACCACTCATCTTCCATTCTTCTGGTATGGTGTGCTCAGCGCAGGTGATACTGAATGGCCATCTGGCTGTTGTGGCCCGTTGCGGAACAACCGTGTTTAGAATAAAAGACGTTTGACGTTCAAAATACACCCAATAGACTTTTGACGAAATCTTTCCAAGGTTTAGTCAATATAGCGATGTGTAGTTCATGTCTCCGATGAGTAAAGGGGAGGGGTTCGTGAGGACACAGGATTGGGAGACACTGATATTACTATAGAGTGAGATATTTTTGTCTAACCAAAACCGTTTTTCATATTTACCGAAGGCCTTGTTGGCTTTTACGATTCTAACACTGTTTTCAGATCCCAAAGAATCATCTCTAGCGAGTATACTTCCAAGGTAGACAAAGGTATCAACAACTTCGAACCTCTGACACGGAATAAAATTGTTAGGTTCGACATAACCCTTTTTATGCTGATGGTTAAGCCGAACGTTGTGTATGCTCTTGAAAATGGTCCATTATAGTTTTCATGCCCTTTAGGGTATAAGCAATTATGAGGTCTGCATCGTCAGAATGGAGTAAGTCTTGAAAAACTGACTGAACGTCAGCTCAGTGTTCCAAACCCAATAAAAACCTCATCATATCGACTGCTGACTTTCAAGTCCTGCAAGTAAGTGAATAGGTTGTCCCTTCCTTTAAGATGTCCTTGTGTCATATTTGTGCCACACTAAACCCCGTAATTACTAAGGGAGCTTCGTTGTGTGGCAATGCTTAGCAATCTAATCTCCCAGACCAATAATACAGGAGTGACTTCTATCCTCAATGGATAACCCCTAATAGTGTTACTGTGCCGTATTAAGTCAAATATTGTAAATAGAACATACACTAATCATGGTGTGATGAGCACTAATATCGCCTTGTAATCCAGTCCTTTTTGTAGTCTTATTCCTTAGCGAAGTGCTCTATTATTTTCACCTTGTACCAAACTAAGTTAAGCATAGTAAATAACCTGTAGACCAATTTTCCTTTTGTAATATATTCGAGTGTCATTTACTGACCAACTACTTTAGCCTTGTGCCAGACTAAATTAATTAATGAACTACTTTATATTAATGTATCAAATAAGTAATAGGGATCATGTCACAAAGACTTTTATTGCTATAGTTGTGTGAAATCTCATGCTCTAATATTTAGTTCTTGTACCAGACTACTTTCATCAAAACGAGAAGGGCACTGACAATCGAGTGATATTTAAAAAGTTCTTCATAAGGCTATTTCAATAGTAGTTGTCTCCTTGCTAAATTTTCCTTTATTGTGGCCTTGTGCCAGACTAACCTTAACAAATAATTATTGCCTCGCGTCTGTGAGAGGTGAGAGTTTAGTTCAATCTCAGTTAAAAGCCAACATATCGAAAATTGATTTCTTTTCCATAGAATCGTAATGAAATTGATTAAAAACAGAACAACTTATTTTAAGCATCAGTCGTTCAAGTACCATTTTTAATCTCAACCAAATTAAACGCCATAATCACGATGTCATTAAGACTGGCGCTTAATTAATATTGTCATCGTCAATTGTTTTTCGCAGAAGTCGTTGATTGTTATTCTGTACGCCATTTAAAAATAATATTCCGTCACTTTGAACAAATCCGGTTAGAATTGGTTGTTTATTAGTCATTCCAGGAATGGTAAATTGCCAGGGTTTAGTATTTATGGAATTCTGCAAAATTTTGAGACGATCTGTCATTCATAAATTGGATAAAACCTGCTTTTTGTATAAGTTCGGAAAGAAAGTAAAATAGACCATAAAATGAAATTAAAGATAGAAAAATAAAGAAAGGGTAAAAATAAATAGAGAAACAAAGAAAGAAGAAAAAGGAAATAGTTTATAAAATGAATGAAATAAAGAAAGAAAATAGGTAAGGAAAATAGATCATAAAAAGAAAAAAAGAAAGGAAAACAATTTATAAAATGAATGAATTAAAGAAAGAATGAAAGAAAGAAAGAAAGAAAAATGGCAAATAATTCATAAAATAAAAAAAAGAAATAAATAAAGAAAGAAATGAAAATAATACATGAGAAAGAAAAAGAAACAAGTTCATAAAAGAATGAAAGAAAGAATGAATGGAAGAAAAAGAAGAAAACAAAAGAAAGTAAAAAAACCGACATGCAGAAAGAAAAAAAATTAGAAATAATGAACATGAAAGAGAGGAGAAAAGAAAGGAAAAGGGAAAGAGAAAATAAAAGCACAAAAAAGAAAACAAGATAATGGAAAGATATGAACAATGAGAAAGAAAAAGACAGGAACAATGAAAAAGATAATCAAGGAAAGAACGGAAAATGCCAGAAGAAAGAAAGAAAGAAAGAAAAAAGAAAGAAAAATGAAAAAAAAAAAAAGAAAAAAAGAAAGAAAAAAAGAAAGTTTTAATAGTCTAGCAGATTATTATCTTTTTAAAGAATTTTATTTTCCTCTGACTTCCTTATTTTGACCTTTGAGGTCAGATACAGTAAAACAAAGGAAGTCGTTTTTGATTGGCTGAATCGAACGTGGGAATGTTAGAGAGATAGAAAGTGATTTCAAAGAGTAAGTTTTTTCACGTCGAAGAATGCAGAGAGTTATTTTCTTGTATGGAAACTTCTCCCCAGTGGGGTGGGATAGCAACCCCACTGGCAGGGTTAGATGTACACGTTGATGTCGTTAATAAAATAGATAAGTTTAAAATTCCTTTGGTTGAAATTCTCATTTTACTCCCGAACAAACCAACTAACGATCGCCCACCCGAGAGAAGAAAGAGAGGAAAACAACTTTTTATCATGATCACCTCAATTAAGTAACCCCCAGAACGAGTGGGGTATGCAACAAAAGAAAGATAAAAGAAAGAAAGAATTGAAAAACAGTGGGGACGAAAAACCAGAAATTATGAAGAAGGCAAAGACGAAGAAGGAAAGAAGAAGAGAAAGAAGAAGAGAAAGAAGAAGAGAAAGAAATAGTAAAATAAAAAAAAACAAAAGGATATTTGAAAGATAAGTAACAGAATGAACAAAATATGAAAGGAAATGAAGGAGAATAAAGACGGAAAAGAAGAAAGAAAATGGAAAAAATAAAATGAAAAAAGAAGAAATTTCGAAGGTTAGAACATCAAATCTCATCTTATCAGCATTCTCTCAAAAAATGAGTGAGTTACAACAAAGATGCGTTGACTAAGGTACACCCAATACAAGGCCTAAGAGCCACTGAAGCCAGAGGGTTGCTAAATAAGTTTTTTTAAGCATGTAAGAGGAGGAAGATATATAGGAGATACGGTGAAGGGTTAGGGATAGCGCGTTGAGAAATCAGATAACCGAGTTCGAAATCCAGTCGGGTTCATTACATTCACTTACGTGCTAATAACCTTGGGAAAGCTATGAATCTCCCCCCAACTATGGATAAACAGTAAGACAGAATGAGTTATATAGCCTTTGGTGGCAACCGGTGCAGGAGAAGGAAATCTCTGAATTCAAACCAGTATGGAGAGGGTTGGGCTCCGTCAAGACACCCCCACCCACTTCTGCTGCGGTTGCGGTGACCCTACGACCCTAATTAGTTACGCGACTCGTGATCGTGATCAGGAGAGATAATAGCTGACTCTTGACTTGAAGAGGTTAAGATTTTAGTGGTTGGGAAAACATCTTCTCAGGAGTCTGTTCCATAAAGCAGCGTTTCTAGAAAAGAAGCTGTTCGAAATAGGAAAGGAATGCGGATGCCAGCCGTCACTCTCCCCCTGTTCTATTTGGAAAGGTGTGGAACTAAGGAGTGAAGCTCGTCAGAACATTTTCCATAGAAACTGCAATAGAGTAGCGTCGTTTTGTCTAGTAGGGTTGAAAATAATTAATCACCCAAAAGGCCGTGTAGATGATTTTGAGCATCTAAATCTGAAAAGTGAAGATTGAGAAACTCCAGTGCACATAAGGCAGCAATCTTCCATTTTTGGTTTGATCTGTCTCTTGTAAAGTTAAAGCATGGCAGTTATTTATTTCTAAGTTGTATAAGGGGCTGGCCATCTTCCAGCTATGGATTCACTAGGCCATAGTGGATAAAACATGACTTGACCCAAAGAGATGTGAGTTCAATACCTGGCCACAGCAGAGGTGAACATAAACTTGGAGATTTGAGTTACTAAAGAGAAATAACTGAAGCTTAAAAGGCGCGGCACGTGGAACTAGAACAATCTACCCCCTCCCGGTGGACGAAAAAAAGAGTTCGGTTCGAAATTCAAATGTATATCATCTGAAGAAGGTCGGAGCGTACAACGGTTGAAACGTCGTGAATATGACAATAACGATGAGGACAACAGTTCGAACAATGTAAATAGTGTAAATGAATACATGTATAACTGCAAATAAATATAATAATCATAATATATATAATAATAAAAGAAATAATAATAGCAAATTATATTAAATTATTATATTGCTTTTAAGCAATATTTATGTTATTTCATCATGCCTTCATTTATTCACTCACCATTCTCCTCTATTTCAGAACTGTGGTTCAGAGTGACATTCAAGGTAGAAAAGAGAAATGGTATGCTGGTTCATTTTACACAGAGGATATTGACGGGTACCCCGCCCATCCTTGCAGAAGTTAAAGTGGCAATATCTACAAGAAAGCAGGTGGTTTGAATTCAGAGTTTACCTTCTCCTAGACTGTTCGATTTCCCACCGAGTTAGAGTAATTTATTTTATTGTGTGCCTAATGAACTAATATTTTGTTCTTTAATATGGTCAGTCATTAGAAATCATGAAGAGATTTCAAAATTTGCGAACATCTTGAAGTTTAAATTAAAAAGAAATTGTGTAAAACGATTGAGATTACCACTGTTTCAGAAATATCTTTGTGCAGTCGATAATTTTCAGTCATAGAAACAATTTTTCTTTTCTTCCCATTTGCCGAGTCGATCATTTTTAACAACGCTCACAAGTTGATGGAAAATAAAATTATACTTTTACCATTGATTATAAATATAGTGTCATCGTTGTACAGACGAATAAAAACATAAGCCTGAATCTCTCATGCATACAATTATTAAATAATTAAATAAAAACAAAGTAGCCGACCGGAGAAAATCAGTGTTCATTTAAACCTCTGGGTGGCCAAACACATCAATTAACATTTACAGCTGAGAGCAAGAAAAATAACTTTAAACACCGAAAAGACACATAGCTAGCGAACAAGCTGCGGCTAACAATCCAAACAAAAAACTGACAATATGTTCTAAAATGATTTTTGAATAGCCGAAGACCAAAGCCAGACTCAAAATCATGTCGTTGCTACCACAATTCTTTATTCGATCACCTTCATCAATAACAGATCCTTCGCTGAGTTCAACACCTGGCAGGTTAAAAAAATCACGTCATTGCTACCACAATTATTTATTCGACCCTCTTCATCAATAATAGGTCCTTGGCTACTACGAACTGAGTGTAACTCCTGATAAGTTAAAATATTTATTAAGCTTAATTTTTTATTCATTCATTTATTTCAGTTTACGCATTTTGTGCCGCTGTTATCACCATTCTCCTTCATCTCACAATTGTGATTCCTAGTGACATTCAAAGCAGAACAGGGCAATGGACATGCTGGTTTCTTTTGCGTCGAGGGTGTTAAGGTCACCCCGTCCCTTCTCCCATAAGTTTATAGGCAAGATCTACAAGGGAGCTGATGGTTTGAAGTCAGAGTTTTTTCTCATCGAGTGGTCATGGTATATGAAGGTCGTGTGCTTCCCAGACTACATGTCCTATAGGCTTCTCGGACGTACCGACAAGATATACAAAGGGATGCAGTCCATTATATTTTGGGAAGCTTGTCTGCAGGAATTTCTGGAAAGTCCTCAGTGTTGACAGCCAGCCGCCTTCAGAGCTCCACTCCGGCTTTTCTGCCTGGATTTAATTTCATGGCCTTTTTTCGTGTTTTGGATATGACCGTAAAGTAACGGAGGTTTTAGATCAGGGTTTTTCTTCCTTAAGGTCAAGGGTCACGAAACTACGGCTCGTGGGTCGGATCCGTCCCGCGATGTCAGTTCATCCGGCCGGCCGCCACCCTGTGCTACAAATAAGGCAAATTATAATTATTTATATAGAATTATCAATAGATTGTAGTTAAACTTGCTATGTAGAAAATATTAAAATAAATGTAAGTAAAAATACCAAAAGTTGTCCAATCTGATTTTTGCATTGGCAGTGATATAAGCTTCAGATTGACTTGCAAGTAACTTGTTAAAAGAGGAGTCAAAAAAAAAAAGGAAAACTTATTGAATTTTATCGCTGCTTACCTAATGATGAGTTTTCAAAGTTGAAGAAATTTGCCTCTTGTATGGCATCAGTCTTTGGAACAACTTATGTCTGTGAGCAAACATTTTCACAAATAAAATATGTAAAATCAGTACACATCGAACGATATTGACTGATGAACTTGTGAAAGCAGTTCTCTTGGTTGGATGTAGCAATTCCAAAACCAATGCTGATTATATCTTTAATGATAAAGGCCAATTTCGCAAATCTTACTAAACCTTTTTTGCTGCTTAGTTTGTGAGATTCGGATATGTGCACACTGGGAGGGGGGGGTGATATAATTATTTTATTGCTAATGTCGTCTTCTTAGATAACTTTTCAGTAAATAAGTATGTTTGTTGTCTTTATTTTTTATGCATTCAGTGTATTATATTGAAAAAAGATGGTTACCCAGCCCTCGCTCGACAATCTCTAGGTTATCTGGCTCTCTGTGAAAAAAAAGTTTGGTTAACTCTACTTTAGATGGACTGTTTTCCTGGGATGTCGACCTGCAACTACCTGAAGATGTAAATTTTTTTCAATTTAATTTAAAATCCGTTAATTTTTTGGAGGTTCGAAAAAAAAACGTCATTTCTCTTTGAGTGCAAAACGCCATGTATCAAAATGCCATATTGCAGTGGGCGTTTACCGGACTTCTGCTACCTCACTACGGTAGTCACATTTCTCATTAAGCTAACATTAAGTAATTAAGTCGCCTACAGGGTTACTCATCATCATCATCATCATCATCATCATCATCATGACCAGGTATGGTTGTAGAGTGTTGTCCATTACTGCTTAGCGTGTCTAGGACAAGTAGACATGGTATAACCTATGCAAGTCCAGCTCAAACCACAGTCGATATTCTCCAAGAGGGGCTCGGCTTGGTCACAGACACGTGACAGGTTGTTCCATCGAGGCTACCCACAGCCCTGGCCGTTGACTTAAAACTAGGAAGCTCTCCGACGACAGACGCCGTGCCATCACCGCAACGGCTGCACACATAGTTTTTGATCCCAGTCTACCCCATTGGGCTGGATTTTTTTAAAAAGTCCTGCTGGGTGTCTAGTTACCCTCTTCCCCAGAAAGAGCCTGGTGGGGTAAGCGATGATCTTGATCATACGGCAAGTAGTTATTTGCTACAGTATAAGGCCACTTTATCAGTGACCTAGCAATGTGGGGTTACCAAATAGAAACACAAGTCACTCTGAACAATTATCTAGACATCCTTATGTGTTTACTGATAAATAATCGTATAAATTCAAAATTGGAAAACCGTTCTCTGTGTTTGCATTTTGGCGTACAGCAAAGTTTAAAGGTTGCAAAAATCCATCCCGCCAAAAAGAGGCACTAGGATAAAATTTAATTGGATTAAAAATTAAATTGGAAAATAAAACGGAGAAAAACTAAACAGAACAAAAAAAAAGAAAAATAAGAAAAAAAAAAACAAAAAAAAAAAACAGGGAAGAAATTAAATTTCTGGAAAAGAGTATTAAAAAACCCCAAGACAAAACGATTTAATGGAAAGAATGCAACGCTAAAAAGAATAGCAGCAGATGTAATTTGCTTCCTGATACAAGAGCTCGTTTCAAATCAGTTCTTTGTGCCAAGTTTTTGGTCTTGAGGCGGGAAGAGGAGGCGATAAAAGATTCCATTTTTTCTTTTGCTTTCTTTTCTTTATTTTGATTCACATTTCAGTTTTTATTTCGTTTCGTTTCGTTTTCTTTCCTAATTTTTCATTCATTTTTCTTCATTATTCTTGATCATCGTGTCTATTCGGTTCTTTCTTTCTTTCTTTCTTTCTTTCTTTCTTATTCATTCGCTATTCTACTTTTAATGAAGACTTCTCTATCTTTCATTACTTTCTTTCCATTCTTTTTAAGTTTTCATTTATTTATTCATTCACTATTTTTTTCTTTCTTATAAACATTTTTAATTTTTTTTCTCTTTCTTTTCCTTTTTTTTCAATCATTCCTTATTTATTCTTTTTTTTATAAACACTTCTCCAGCTTTCTTTCATTTCCTTTCATTCTCCCTTCATTTAGTCATTCGCTCTATTTTTTTTTTTCATGAATATTTCTGTCGTTTTCTGTCTTTTGTGGATTTCTCTACTTTCTGCTTTATTGATTATTTCCTTAAATCGTTAAATCTTTTTTTTTATATTTAATCTTCAACGTTTATGTCTTATTCATGTATTTGTCTATAGGTTTAAATTCAGTTCTCAGTCGCAATTTCAAATGATTAACATTTCGGTTCTTGTATTGAGAACCATTGGCATCTCCAATACTATTTTCTTTCTCGGGCATGCGTAAATAACAGAACCTACAATGAATCGATCGCATACACAGAGCAACATGTAAAAAAAAAAAAAAAGAAAAATCATATATATATATATTTGCATTGCGAAGGTTTTCATATTTTAGCAGAAGTACTTTTAGGAAATCTTTTGGCATGTTGTTATTCCCTCGTCATGAATTATGCTTAAGTAAAGTGAAAATAATCCAATGTTGCCCTTGTAATATTCTTAACATACGATGTCAATCAATAAGTACAATTCTGTTAGAAGACTGGAGATGAATTGTTGTTAGGATTCAGTGGTTTTTATATTATTATCCTCAATTTTATTTTTGACAGCGCTTTGATTGTTCAGTTCTTAGTAAATTTTTAATCTTGTAAAGCATTCACTTTTCTTATAAGCATGCCTGCTATAGTAACTTAATTATTGTTGCTCTAATATTTTTTCTTTCTGATTCCTCAACATTTGTTCGCTGCTAACTGCTATAAATCACTACACACTTTGCAGTTCTATAAGTAAAGCACTTATTTGTATAACGGGATTATCTTCAGCTTGCATATTTTTAGTTTCAGTTATATTTACCATTCTAATTTCGCTCTGAAAAGAACAATGAATTATTCTTACTTGCTATTGTCTTTTTTTACCGCGTGCAAAGCCAGTTGCATTGTCAATCAGCAGTAAGCGTTGAATTATAGGATACCACAGGTTATGCAGTACTGGAACAGATGGAAACAAATGTTACTTATACAAGTGGCACCCTAAAACAAGAATGGTAACAGAAATGTGGTTCTACAGAAGGATGCTGAGAATACCAAGGACGAAGTGCATTAGTAACGAAGAAATAAAAAGAAGGCTTAGAGTCAGAAATCGACAGCTGAAAAATCGCATAATAATGAAGGAGTGCTTCGAGAATTACACACTTACAGGACATATCGAAGACAAAAGGGACAATTAGAGTCAGTGGGTCCCATGGCCAGCTGATATGCATAAATGGAGGGAGAGAGGATTGATAGATTAGTTTGTTTCACTTCTTCATGGGTCATTTAATACCAACATTTTGAAGTAATAAAAATATGATATACGTTATTGTGCTTTCACAATTGAATACATGGTAGATGATATTCAGCTTTTGTGCATATACATGTTTGTGAAGACATGATCACAAGAGTCGGTGATATGTGTGTTTTATGTTGTAGTTTTGTTGAAGTTATATTTTGGAATACAGTTTGATTTCTTTAAGAAATTATAGGATATTATATGGATTAATGGGTTAGGATATTATATGGATTAATGTCATGAAAGAGTTCTTTCGTGTTGTTTGTTTGACTGATTTTAAT